ATGCTAGGCCTAGCATTGAGGATGTTACCCTACTGTTGGAAGAAATGTCCTTCTGGGTTCAGTTCCAAGTGGGGAAAAAGACACCGGAAACATGGAGGCTGCTTGGAAAGATGGTGGACAGGATCACATGGTTTGAGCTCCTGGGGAAAAAGGTGATCACATGCTTCAAGATGTTGAGTGAAGAAGAAGAAAAAGAAGAATGTGGCTTGCTGAGAGTTCCTGGGTTTTTTATACTTTCTGTTCAGTTCCTGTGTAAGAAATGTATGCTGATTAGTTGTTTCTGTAGAAGTCTAATCCTACCTTTGGTATGTAGAGTAGACTAGCCCAAGCTTTAATGGCTCATTAAAAACATGATTCTCCCTTTTCACATCCAGGGAAATATAGTATTCTGCCTTGTTAATATTTCCCAGGATATTTCAGCTTTCTAGCAGAGGGATGAGTTTTAACTTCCTACAATATCAACCACAATCTGCTAAGTGCCAAGCCTCCAGTAGGAGGACTATTAGTGAGTTACAAGAAGCATGGCGGTTAAAGACACCAGGCTAAAAACCAGGGAACTGGGAGTTCTAGTGTCTGCCTTAGATATCAAGCCTGCGGGGTGACTTTGGGCCCTCCCTTTCAGCCTCAGGAAGAAGAAAAACAAGGGTAAACCATTTCTGAAAATGTTGCCAAGAACATTGCAGGACAACATTGTCCTTGTATCTGTCCGGAGTAAAACCTGAAGGCAAAAAGAAAATATAAGTATTTAGACCGAGCTAACACTCTAGCTTATAATTCAGTCTCAAAAAAAAAGGAGAATATTTGTAGTTCAGAGTTGAACTGCGGGGTCCTTGGTGCTCTCTTGTTTTCTTGCAGAGGTTTCATTCCCTCCTAATATTCCCTTGTATTCAAATTCATTTCATATATTCATATAGTCACGTTTATACTTATATCTTGTTATCTAAATCATGCTTGACGAAATAAAAACAAAGTTACCCAAAGTAGTGTGGGAAGTTATCATCCAGCCCTCTCCCAGAAAAATGAAATATCCTAGGAAATATTGAAAAGGCAGAATATTTCTCTGGATGT